ATTCCGGCCGACCGAGCCTCCTTTTTCAGGGGTTGCCGACCGGAAACAAGCCTATTTTTTTGGCCTTTTATATAATATTTTTTATATACGACAGTCCACAATAGTCCACTATAATCCCGAATATGTGCGATAAGCGGTAGCTGGGCCAGGCGGCTCTGAGGTATCGGCGTCTACGCAGACATAGCACACCATAAAGCAGTAAAACCATGAGGAGGGAGGAGGAGGACGGAAATGAATAATGAGGAGGAACGAGGTCGATGGGGAGGGTACTTGAAGACCATGGATACCATACAGTAGACGCCGCTGGAAAGATTCGGACTTGAGAGCGATCAGTGAATGTTGCAGTGGACAGGAGGATATCGATTGTCGTGAGAGAAGCAGGGTGAAAGGTAACATCACATTCACGTGACATGGTGGTAATGGGGGGGGGCGAGGGGGATGTTAGTGAGGCGACGGTCTAAACCGTTTCATAGGACGTCGGTGGCTGCTTGCCAGTTCAGGTGCAGCAGATACTTGTTGCATTTTCCTTGAAGAACTGGAGCTGTCTGAGTTGCGGCCTTGCTGGTAGAATGGTCGCTGGTAGGTTGTTAAACAAGGGAATAATGCAGTCTGGGTAGGAACCCTGGATGCTGCTACGAATGCGCACGGGCAGCGTCGACTTGAGCTGGAGCAGGTGGCAGTGGGCAGTCTCCGTGGCTAACCTAGTGGATCGACCACCCACTGGGTGGGGGCTGGCTGGAGGTGGGAGGATGGGCTTCAGGGCGCTTGTTGTTGAAGGTGGGACAGCTTGAAGGTGAACGAAAGCACAGCAACCAGTCGCTGTTTATCCTGGCGAGCCAGGCGCCTGGGCCACTCGCCTTCAGTGCCTTGTGCTGTATTTTGTCCAGCCTGGATGTGCATGACCCCATCCACACCAGGCAGCAGTATTCCATTGTTGCCCGCACGAAGCCTTTGTAGACTGCCTTGCGGCCGCTAGAGGCAAACAAGGGGGCAACTTTTCCTAGGTCGTGTAGGCGTTGGGCAGCCTTTGAGGCCACGGCCCGGAGGTGTGCTGAGTAGGACAGTTTCAAGTCGAATGCTACGCACGAAGTTTAATGTCCTTGTCTTCAGGAACAGTCACGTTATGGAATGGCACTGGTGGGTGCGCTGGGGGAGGCTTGCGGTGGTCGATGATGAGGATCTGAGATTTAGATGGCTTGAAGGTGGCCTTCCACTTGGAACTCCAGTGGGAGACGGCGTCCACTTCTTCCTGGAGTTGTGTTGCAGAGTTGGACATGCTGGCGGTGGTAGAGATACACTGAATACTGTGTCATGTCATCTGCATAGGTGGTGAGCAGAGCACCATCTGCCTGCAGGCTCCAGTTGTGCAGGTAGCTGTCCAGGCATCCGAGAGCGGGCTGTCTTAACCGTACACAGAATCCAAGCAAGTTGTTGTTGTTATTTGTTTATTTAGAGTCGAAGAACAAATAGGCAAACTTTTCTGATTTCATGATATCGACTAAAAAGGAGAATAAAGTATGAAAGGCTAATGAAGGTAATGATACTGAGTAGAGTGGGTACTAAAGCAATAAAAGCTAGGCCAGTAAAGGAAATGATAATAAAGCCGGCGGCGGCGTTACTAAAAAGCAGCATTCGCTGGGAGGGATCGCATGAATCGGTGATACTGTGGGATTATCCTGATGTCAGGCTGGTGCCTCTTCCACAGTGATACACATTGGAATGAGGCAGAATGTGTGCCAACGGATTTCTTAGTGACTGGAAATTTAAGTGCTCGATTTACCTGACTACGTGTAGTACGACGGGCATTGAGAGGGCTGAACATATCGGTAAGCAATGTGCTGCATTTACCCTGAAGGCAGCGCCAAGTGAAGCCAAGCAGCTTGTGGCAGTACATAACGTCTAGTGAGTGCAATCGCAATTGGCAATACAGCGGCGCAGATGGGGATGCAAATGGAGCGTTGAAAACACAGCGGACTGCACGCTTGAGTAGACGCTCTAGGCGCTCCAGCTCATGTGAGGTGAGGCCAGTAGAGAAACAGTTGCTAGCATGAAGGAAGTCAGGAAGGATAAGGGATTTCAGGTACATGATGCGGCACGAGAGGGCCATGGACCGCCTGCTTCTAATTGTAAACAGGACGGCTATTTTACAACCAGCTCGCTGGACGATCTGACCAGCATAGCTGACTTAATCAAATGCGCCTGCCAAAACATGGGTGGCTCCTCCAAGGCCATTCACTGTGGAGCTTTGGTGAAGACGTCAGCTGCCTTCAGACACTTTCTGAGCCCGAACTGTTTCACGGAGAGGACCTCACCAGGGCCAGATGGAATTCCCAACGAGATGCTTAAATATCCCTGCAATGAGCCTCTATGTACATCCATTGCTCACAAGCTACTAATACCTGTTGAATTGGCGACACTAGATTCTGCGGTTGGTGCTGGCGTGCAAGTATCTCTGAAGAAGCCTGGAAAACTCAAGGGTCCATGTTGCAAACTTCCACCTATTGTTCCTCTGAATTCAGTTAAGGATTCAACACCAGATCTAACACTATCTGCCATCCTCAACAGAGTGCGTACAAACCAAGTCAGTCAATTGTTGCCAATGTATTTACTCTCCGTATTCTCAGCAGTGTAGTATAAAACAAGCAGTGTCATTCAACAAGCTGGGCATCGACCTCTCCATAGTCTTTGACACTCCGCACAAAAGCAGCCTGCTGGAATCAATCCTCAATTCAGCGCCTGGTGCACCTGATGTTCCAGCCATGGTCCCAACGCTGATTGTGGACACAACACTCAGTGTTTGAGTATGCGGACATCCTGCAGACCCTTTTCAATCTGGCATCGGCACACTACAGGGATATTGCTTGAGCCCTGTCCTGTTTACATCCTACTTTGAACATGTTCTGCAGCAGTTGGGACATCAGTTCCGAGGAGAAAGTACAGGCCTAACTTACTCTATCCCTGAATTTCAGTATGCACAGGATCTTGACTTTCTCCATGTATATGACCAAAATCTTCAACAAACTCATGAGGTATGCGTGCTGAAGATGCTAGAACACCAGTTGATGGTCAACGACACGAAAACTGAATGGACCCACTTCTACCTTGATGCAGACCTGGAGAAAGGAGGGGAATAAGAATGGTAGATGACAAAGTCTGTTGGGTCTAGAGCTGGTACTGCCGAGGACATCAAACACAAAATGGTTCTTGCATCGCAGACATCTGGTTGCATGCCAAGCCTTCTACAGTCATCCATGATCTCCCTGGGGCTGAGGCTGAGGCTGTACAAGTGCTACTTTCTAAGCCTTCAGCTTCGCAAATGCGCTGCCTGGGGCCTCAACGAGGCACTCAAAACGTCTCTGGATGTTTGTCACAGCCGTCACCTCCGCTCGTTACTCCGTGAAAAGTATCCAAATATAATCAAAGACACGGAACTCTACAACAGTTGTCGCACCCAACCCATCTCCAAGGAGATCGCAGCGGGGCGATGGAACTTCCTGGGGCATGAGCTCTGAAAATCATGGACGTCGCCACAGGTCGCCCTCGATATTGCTTATTATGGTGCTTGCGGGGAAAGAGAGGCAGACCAAGAACAACACTGCTGATCACTCTCTCACTGGATTTTTGGGAGAAGCTGGGGCTTGTACTTCTGTCGCATAGAATCTGCCTTTTTAGTGTTTGCACTCTTTTGCCTGCTGCTGTGGCATTTTTGTGGCACTGTTTTCGTCACCTATGTATACACCTCTCGTCACTTTGTTTTCCCTGCCTGGGCTTTCATTAATGTTTGCTTGCTTATATTACTGAGGGACAGGATAATAATGCTAGTTTATACTCGCAGGTCACCATGTTGCATGGGCCAAGCCTACTCATCCGGCGGATATGTGTGAATTATGTTGATTAACTTACAGGACTTGAAGGGATGATAGGTTGGCAAATATATTTGGCGGAAGGCTTACAAGGAGATTCTGCTGCAGTCGTCTACAAAGAGAGATGAGAATAGTGCAACAAGTCGAACATGAAGGAACAGTGATGACCCCTTACATATTATGCGTAAAACCGTACATGACAAAATAATTAATTACCAACAATTATTATCATCTCATCACCTATTCGCTATTCTGTCTTTGTAGGAATCATGCGTGAATTTCCAAAATCCTTTATCGCTTTAGGACCTGCATCTGCGCTTTGAGCCATAAAGGGTGATGTCGTTCCTTTACACGCGGAAAACTGGGCCTGTAGCCGAGTCTCACGTAGGCATGTGAATTTCTTTTTTTATCTGATTGTGAGAATCTAAAAATTCTAATGGTCATTCGGGGACATGAACTATATTGTTTTATTGTTTTATTTTATTTTTTATATACAAAAATCCACTATAATCCCGAATATGCGCGAGAAGTGGTGGCTGGATCAGGCTGCTCTGCCGACCTTAAAGGTCTCGGCGTCTACGCAGACATAGCACGCCATAAAGCAGTAAAACCATGAGGAGGGAGGAGGAAGGAAATGAATAATGAGGAGGAACGAGGACGATGGGTAGATTGTCGTGAGAGAAGCAGGGTGAAAGATAACATCATATTGGGGTAAGGGGAAGGGTGGATGTTAGTAAGGCGCTGGTCTAAACCAATTCATAGGTCGTCGGTGGCTGCTGGCCATATCAGGTGCAGCAGATATTTGTTGCATTTTCCTTGAAGGACTGGAGCTGTCTGGGTTGCGGCCGTGCTGGTAGAATGGTAAGCAAGGGAATAATGCAGTCTGGGTAGGAACCTTGGAGGCTGATAAGAATCCGCACGGGCAGCATCAACTTGATCTAGAGCGGGTGGCAGTGGGCAGTCTCCGTGGCTAACCTAGTAAATCGACCACCCACTGGGCAGAGGTTTGCTGCAGGTGGGAGGATGGGCTTCAGGGCGCTTGTTGTTGGAAGGTAGGACAGCTTGAAGGTGAACAAAATCACAGCAACCAATCGGCGGTGTTTATCCTGGGGAGCCAAGCGCCTGGGCCAATCGCTTTCAGTGCCTTGTGCTGTATTTTATCCAGCCATTGAAGACCACTTCTTCCTGTAGTTGTGTTGCAGAGTCGGCCATGCTGGCGGTGGTAGAGATACACTGATACTGTGTCGTGTCATCTGCATAGGTGATGAGCAGAGCACCATCTGCATAGGTGATGAGCAGAGCACCATCTGCATAGGTGGTGAGCAGAGCACCATCTGCATAGGTGGTGAGCAGAGCACCATCTGCATAGGTGGTGAGCAGAGCACCATCTGCATAGGTGGTGAGCAGAGCACCATCTGCATAGGTGGTGAGCAGAGCACCATCTGCATAGGTGGTGAGCAGAGCACCATCTGCATAGGTGGTGAGCAGAGCACCATCTGCATAGGTGGTGAGCAGAGCACCATCTGCATAGGTGGTGAGCAGAGCACCATCTGCATAGGTGGTGAGCAGAGCACCATCTGCATAGGTGGTGAGCAGAGCACTATCTGCATAGGTGGTGAGCAGAGCACTATCTGCATAGGTGGTGAGCAGAGCACCATCTGCATAGGTGGTGAGCAGAGCACCATCTGCATAGGTGGTGAGCAGAGCACCATCTGCATAGGTGGTGAGCAGAGCACCATCTGCATAGGTGGTGAGCAGAGCACCATCTGCATAGGTGGTGTGCATAGCACCATCTGCATAGGTGGTGAGCAGAGTACCAGCAGACAAGGTGTCATCTGCATAGGTGGTGAGCAGAGCACCAGCACACAAGGTGTCATCTGCATAGGTGGTGAGCAGAGCACCAGCTGCATAGGTGGTGAGCAGAGCACCAGCAGACAAGATGTCATCTGCATAGGTGGTGAGCAGAGCACCAGCAGACAAAATGTCATCTGCATAGGTGGTGAGCAGAGCACCAGCAGACAAGGTGTCATCGGCATAGGTGGTGAGCAGAGCACCAGCAGACAAGGTGGTGAGCAGAGCACCAGCAGACAAGGTGGTGAGCAGAGCACCATCTGCATAGGTGGTGAGCAGAGCACCAGCAGACAAGGTGTCATCTGCATAGGTGGTGAGCAGAGCACCAGCAGACAAGGTGTCATCTGCATAGGTGGTGAGCAGAGCACCAGCAGACAAGGTGTCATCTGCATAGGTGGTAAGCGGAGCACCAGCAGACAAGGTGTCATCTGCATAGATGGTGAGCAGAGCACCAGCACACAAGGTGTCCTCTGCAAAGGTGGTGAGCAGAGCACCAGCAGACAAGGTGTCATCTGCATAGGTGGTGAGCAGAGCACCAGCGGACAAGGTGTCATCTGCATAGGTGGCGAGCAGAGCACCCAGCAGACAAGGTGTCCTCGCAGTCATTTATATACAGGAGGAATAACGTAGGTCCAAGGATGCTACCCTGTGATACCCCTGCTTGGATATGGTGCAGAGAGGACTCTTGGCCGCCCTGAACTGGCTGCAGGCTCCAGTTGTGCAGGTAGCTGTCCAGGCATCCGAGAAGCGGGCCGTCTAGACGGTACACAGAATCCTTATGCAGCAAGCCACTTGTTGTTGTTTTTGTTGTTTGAATTCTTTATTCTCACGATGGCACCATCGCCAATAAGAGATAAATTGATGAGAAGGTGAGATTGTGGGTTAAACAGTTGGAAAGTGATTTATATCACTTTGAACTTTACAAGTATGGGAGAGGGTGAGCGCTGCAGGAGCAAATTGAGTTAATCAGCAGTGAGCAGATTTCTTGTTTGAAAGCAGGTCGGGAGGAGACGTCACGAATGCTAGCAGGGAGGGCATTGTAGTATTCTAGGGACTTGTACAGTGGGGAGTCTTTACAGCGATCGGTTCTGGAGGGTGGGAGGTGCCAAGTGCGTGCGTGTCGAAGGCTGTACTGGGCCGTAACTTGAGCGGGGGTGTTGAGCAAGCATATGTGTTGTGGGGCATATTGATATTTTATGGAGTGAGCAAGAAGGGTGAGCTTCACTTTGCGGCGAGAGAACATTGTCGGCCATTTGAGCCGATGGAGCAGTGTTGAATGATCCAGAGGAGTGTAAAGGGGGAGACGGAGGCAGATTCTGGCCGCCTTGCGCTGGATTCGCTCAGGGCTGCGATTGAGAGCGGGGTGACAGCAATGCATGCATATTCAATTATAGGCAGGACATACGTTTTGTAAATGAGAGAGAGTGATTTAGTGTGTAGAGTTGATTTGAGCCTAAAGAGAATATTAAAAGATTTTACGGCTTTCTTCAGCACAAAGTCAAGGTGGGCTGACCATCTTAGGTCGTGCTGAAAGATGATGCCGAGGTGACGATGTTGTGTTACTGTTTCTAATAGGGTTTGGCCAAGTTTTATTTCGGGTAGTCGTGGTGGGGGTCGGTTAGCATGGTAGAACGGGAGGATGACGGTTTTCGTTTTATTGACTAGCAGGTGCCAGCGCTCTAGCCATTCTGCTGCGGCATCGACGCTTCTTTGTAGCGCAGCCTCACACTCAATGTAGCTGCCTGCAATGGCAATTAGTGCGGTGTCGTCCGCGAACTGGCTACACGAGGTTGTAGCATTTTTACAGGCAGTGGGCAGGTCAATGGTGTACGCCAGGAACAGAAGTGGTCCCAGGACCGAGCCCTGGGGCACTCCTGCTGGTATTGGTATGAAGGCGGATGTTGTGCCTTCAACCTGCACCCGCTGTCTGCGTCCTGTCAAGTAGGCTTCGAGCCAATTGTGAGCCTTGCCGTTGACACCATAGTGGCTCAGCTTTTTCAGCAAGCCTTGATGCCATACACGATCAAAGGCTTTACTGAGATCGAAGAAACACGTTACAACATGCTTCCCCGCATCCCTAGCTGTGGATATCTGGTGGACGATCCGTGCGAGTTGAAGTTCGGTCCCGTCTTGTTTCCTGAAGCCGGATTGGTTGGAGGGTAAGTGCGGTGCTATGTGATTGTACAGATGAGAGTGGACTATTCTTTCTTGTGTTTTTGATATTATACTGAGCAGGGAGATGGGTCGGTAGTTGGTAGGATGGGAGGGGTTGCCCGACTTGGGGATGGGTGTAATAGTTGCGTCTTTCCAATCCTGTGGTATTTCTCCGGTTCTGAAGGACAGATTGTAGAGACTAGTGAGAGATGGGGAGATTTCCTTTGCAGTTTCTTTCAGGAGCCGAGTTGGGATGTTGTCAAAGCCTGGGCTCTTGCCAGTGTCTAGACTGCATAGAAGCTTCTCGACCTCTTCCACTGTTGCTGCGATTGTATTTAGAGTATGACTGATGTCAGGGGTAGTGTTGATGTCTGGTGTAGTACAGGTGGTCTTGTCGATGGACTGTTGGCTTTGGGAGATAAAGAACTTTTTGAGAGCTGTTGCTTTCTCCATAGCCGTGGCTGCAGTGGAGTTGGCTGTCGATAGTGTGGGAATTGTTTGCTTAGGCGGTTTTTTCAGGTGCTTCAGTAGACGATGGAGGTTTGTACCCGTCGACGTTGTTTGCTGGACAAAGTCGGACTTAGCCTGCCGCAAAAGAGCGGTTACTCGGTTACGCTGGGCTGTGTACAGTTTCCAATCTGAGTCTAGTTGGGTCGCCTTGTAGGTGCGGAACTGTTTGTGCTTTGTTTTGATCTGGCTGAGGAGATCCTTCGTCATCCAGGGACGAGTGGGCGTAGAATTTTTGCGGGACTTGCTTCTGGTCACTTGGCAGTGGTGCACGGCTAGTTTCAGTATCTGGTCTCTCCAGAAGTTCCAGAATGAGGTTACTGGCTGAGGGTCAGTGGGATGTGGATCGTACTGCAGATTGCAGGTAGCAAGAGCTTCACGCAGGGACGCAATGCGTTCCTCGCTCCACAACCAGTATGTGCTGGAGGTGCTTTGCTGTGTAGTACTGCTCTCATTTTTTATTATTATTTGTATTATTGTTTCTGTGGGTGGTGTGCTGCTGGGGTCGTATGTTGCCTTGTATGACAACATGATCAGAGGCACCCATAGGGGGCAGGCTTGTGATGGTGATGTTATGGCGACTGAGGCTAGAGATGGCCAGGTCCAGGCACGATGTAGGTGTGTGTTGGCGTAGGTGGGTGGCAAAGGAGACGTGTTGTGTGAGGCCACGAGTCTCGCACAGCCAATGCAGGTCCTCACCTAAGGCATCGGTGGTGTCGCTGGGGTGCCACAAGCAGTTCTTGGTGTTGAAGTCGCCAAGGAGAAGTATCTCATCATGGGGTCTTTCAACTAACTTTATGGCCCTCTCCAGTTCCATCACGAACTCTGCGGGGTCGGACCGCGGTGGACGGTAGATGTTCCCTACCACAAGGGAGGCTTGGCCGATTGTTATTCTAATCCAAATACATTCCGCTTGAGTCATGGGAATGGTAATTGTCTCGTGTTGGCAGCTGTGTGGTATGTATGTGGCGACTCCTCCACCAAAGGTGTCCCGGTCCGCTCTTATGAGTTTGTAGCCGTTGATGGCGTACATCCCGTCGCTGTCCGATGGATGCGCCCAGGTTTCCTGGAGGGCGATTATTGACGGTTGTTGCAACTTTGCCACGTGGCTAAGCTCGTCCATCTTGTTGAACAGACACCTGACGTTCGAGCTGATGAAATTCGCGACTTCCATTATTTTTTATTTATTTTTGTTATTTGTTTCGTTTTTTTGGTATTTCCGCAATTGAAAGTATTGTTCTCACTGATATTGTGTGGAGGACAGCGCTAGGATTGAGTATCGTGTGACACCAGTGGGCTGAAGCGTGAGCCCTGTGCCGGGGCAAGGGGTTAGCTTTGGCCAGGGTCGATGTTGTTGCTCTCTTTTTGTTTTTGGAATTTTTGAAATCAGGTGAGGATTCCGCATTGGGACTGGGTCTCCTGCATCGTTCGGAGGTAATCCAGGGGTTTGCTGGCTGGTTAGACATGTCTGTGTTAGTCACCAGTGAGGAGAGGAGGTCTTCAGCACGCGCCGAATCTGGGTGATTACACTTTGTTGTCGGAGTAGTTGTGTCGGTGTGCGGTGAGTTGGATGTTGTCGTACTTGTATTTGTGCTGCCTGGCGGCGTTCCGGGGTGCACGGTCGTGCTGGTTGCCGACATGGGCGATGCGATGTCGTGTTCGTACGACTCGTACTGGTTGTTGACTGGGTCGTTTGGGTGCGAACTCGAGAGCACGTCTGCTTTCGGCGTGGTGTTGGCACCATCGGAGGCCGTTTGGGATACGCCGCTGGCGTGGGTCAAACTCGGGGACGCTTTTGGTGCCGAATCGGTACGGTGAGACTCCGCTTCAGCTCCGCTGTTCATGTTCCGCTCTGTAGCTGTGCTGCCAGTGCTGCTGCCTTCTCTGCCGGCATGCGTGGAGGTGTGTGCACTGCGACGGTTTTGGCAGGTATACCGGTACGCGCGATGTGACCTAGCTGGCCACATAGCCTGCACGTGCCTACCTGGCCGTCGTAGATGATGCGGAGCTCGTGAGAACTTTCCGTCGTACGCAAGTACGACGGGATCGAACTGCCTGGTTTCAGTTCAAACGTGGCGAATCGCACACCAGTTGCTGTTTGGGTGCCGTTTGAAAGTTTGATTTTGCCGTGTCGTATCTCACCGATAAGCTTTCCGTACGGTGAGAGCGCAGCTTTTAGGACACCGTCTGAGATCCAGATCGGAGCATCGTGGATGTGTATCTGTGTTGTTGGTACGGAAACGAAGCGTGGTGAAACCCGTTCGCCCTTGCAATCGAAGCCATTGAGTACCAACAATTTGGCTTTTTCATATGACTCAACGGTAAGTCTACATTGACCCCTGCTTGTTGTCTGCATCGAAATGATGCCGGTGATACCTTGCTCTTCTAGGAGCTTTATGTTGGCCCCCACGCTTACCTGGGCTTGCGAGGGGAATACAACAGTGTTCTTCTTCAGTGTCGAAGTTGTTGTTGTTGTTGTTGTTGTTGTTGTTGTTGTTGTTGTTGTTGTTGTTGTTGTTGAATTCTTTATTCTCACAATGGCACCATCGCCAATAAGAGATAAATTGATGAGAAGGTGAGATTGTGGGTTAAACAGTTTAAAAGTGATTTACATCACTTTGAACTTTACAAGTATGGGAAAGGGTGAGCGCTGCAGGAGCAGATTGAGTTAATCAGCATTGAGCAGATTTCTTGTTTCAAAGCAGGTCGGGAGGAGACGTCACGAATGCTAGCAGGGAGGGCGTTGTAGTATTCTAGGGACTTGTACAGTGGGGAGTCGTTAGGCCGCGGTCACACCGAGCTCGATTCAGCCGTTCAGCCGAAACAAGCGCTTGTTTACGTCACTATTACCATGGAAATGGCTGAAAAATGTCCTACAAGCGACTTTCAGCCGTGGCTGACTCTCAGCCGTTTTTTTCCGGCTTGTTTAAGCCACAGCTTGTACAAGCGGCTGAAAGCCGAAATTCAAAAAATAATTTGAGTGCGCTTGGAGCTCCGGAGCACACCATGTAGCTAGTTGACATGATGAACTGATATATTGATGTTCTTTCTTGTGTCCGTGGAACCGTGCTATCCCTGTGCCTTTGGTTTTGACCGTGAGTCTGTCTACCCCAACTACACTGTATTCAGTTTGATTTGGATTTTGTCCAACGACCATGGATTTCTGCCGCTGTGCCTCTAGACTGCTGCATAGATTGTTGGAGCTGTGGTTTGAGGCCAAGACAAGGCACCACGCTCACGACCGAATTCATGAAGAAAGCCGGGTACGAAGAAGAGAGTGGTTTGCAACTGAGTTCAATAACGGCAACCGGCGGGGCAGAAAGCTCGACATCAGGAAACACCACCCGAACCATCGCGTCCATGCACACCGAACAAATAAAAAGAGCACGACTTCGCAATTCAGAATCCGGGCTTCCTTCGCTTCTTCATCAAAACTGAACACTAGAACAAGTACAGTTTTAGATCGCGAACGTTCTGCTCTCCAGTTTCTTGCAAACATTGGTGTGTTTCGAGATATTCAAAATTTGGCGGGTAAGAAAAACAAGCCATTCAAGCTTTGCACTCAAGGTCTGGTGTGACCGTGTCACAGGGATCACGCAAGCCAGCTGAGCGCCAGCGATAACAAGCCCAAAGTGGCTTGTTTCGGTGTGACCGGGGCCTTACAGCGATCGGTTCTGGAGGGTGGGAGGTGCCAAGTGCGTGCGTGTCGAAGGCTGTACTGGGCCGTAACTTGAGCGGGGGTGTTGAGCAAGCGTATGTGTTATGGGGCATATTGGTATTTTATGGAGTGAGCAAGAAGGGTGAGCTTCACTTTGCGACGAGAGAACATTGTCGGCCATTTGAGCCGATGGAGCAGTGTTGAATGATCCAGAGGAGTGTAAAGGGGGAGACGGAGGCAGATTCTGGCCGCCTTGCGCTGGATTCGCTCAAGACGGTCAAGGGCTGCGATTGAGAGCGGGGTGACAGCAATGCATGCATATTCAATTACAGGCAGGATATACGTTTTGCAAATGAGAGAGAGTGATTTAGTGTGTAGAGTCCATTTGAGCCTAAAGAGAATATTAAAATATTTTACGGCTTTCTTCAGCACAAAGTCAAGGTGGGCTGACCATCTTAGGTCGTGCTGAAAGATGATGCCGAGGTGACGATGTTGTGTTACTGTTTCTAATAGGGTTTGGCCAAGTTTTATTTCGGGTAGTCGTGGTGGGGGTCGGTTAGCATGGTAGAACGGGAGGATGACGGTTTTCGTTTTATTGACTAGCAGGTGCCAGCGCTCTAGCCATTCTGCTGGGGCATCGACGCTTCTTTGTAGCGCAGCCTCACACTCAATGTAGCTGCCTGCAATGGCAATTAGTGCGGTGTCGTCCGCGAACTGGCTACACGAGGTTGTAGCATTTTTACAGGCAGTGGGGAGGTCAATGGTGTACGCCAGGTACAGAAGTGGTCCCAGGATCGAGCCCTGGGGCACTCCTGCTGGTATTGGTATGAAGGCGGATGTTGTGCCTTCAACCTGCACCCGCTGTCTACGTCCTGTCAAGTAGGCTTCGAGCCAATTGTGAGCCTTGCCGTCGACACCATAGTGGCTCAGCTTTTTCAGCAAGCCTTGATGCCATACACCATCAAAGGCCTTACTGAGATCGAAGAAACACGTTACAACATGCTTCCCCGCATCCCTAGCTGTGGACATCTGGTGGACGATCCGTGCGAGTTGCAGTTCGGTCCCGTCTTGTTTCCTGAAGCCCGATTGGTTGGAGGGTAAGTGCGGTGCTATGTGATTGTACAGACGAGAGTGTTTTTGATATTATACTGAGCAGGGAGATGGGTCAGTACTTGGTAGGATGGGAGGGGTTGCCCGACTTGGGGATGGGTGTAATAGTTGCGTCTTTCCAATCCTGTGGTATTTCTCCGGTTCTGAAGGACAGATTGTAGAGACTAGTGAGAGATGGGGAGATTTCCTTTGCAGTTTTTTTCAGGAGCCGAGTTGGGATGTTGTCAAAGCCTGGGCTCTTGCCAGTGTCTAGACTGCATAGAAGCTTCTAGACCTCTTCCACTGTTGCTGTGATTGTATTTAGAGTATGACTGATGTCAGGGGTAGTGTTGATGTCTGGTGTAGTACAGGTGGTCTTGTCGATGGACTGTTGGCTTTGGGAGATAAAGAACTTGTTGAGAGCTGTTGCTTTCTCCATAGCCGTGGCTGCAGTGGAGTTGGCTATCGATAGTGTGGGAATTGTTTGCTTAGGCGGTTTTTTCAGGTGCTTCAGTAGACGGTGGAGGTTTGTACCCGTTGACGTTGTTTGCTGGACAAAGTCGGACTTAGCCTGTCGCAAAAGAGCGGTTACTCGGTTACGCTGGGCTGTGTACAGTTTCCAATCTGAGTCTAGTTGCGTCGCCTTGTAGGTGCGGAACTGTTTGTGCTTTGTTTTGATCTGGCTGAGGAGATCCTTCGTCATCCAGGGACGAGTGGGCGTAGTATTTTTGCGGGATTTGCTTCTGGTCACTTGGCAGTGGTGCACGGCTAGTTTCAGTATCTGGTCTCTCCAGAAGTTCCAGAATGAGGTTACTGGCTGAGGGTCAGTAGGATGTGGATCGTACTGCAGATTGCAGGTGGCAAGAGCTTCATGCAGGGACGCAATGCGTTCCTCGCTCCACAACCAGTATGTGCTGAAGGTGCTTTGCTGTGTAGTACTGCTCTCATTTTATTATTATTTGTATTATTGTTTCGGTGGGTGGTGTGCTGCTGGGGTCGTATGTTGCCTTGTATGACAACATGATCAGAGGCATCCATAGGGGGCAGGCTTGTGATGGTGATGTTATGGCGGCTGAGGCTAGAGATGGCCAGGTCTAGGCACAATGTAGGTGTGTGTTGGCGTAGGTGGGTGGCAAAGGAGACGTGTTGTGTGAGGCCACGAGTCTCGCACAGCCAATGCAGGTCCTCACCTAAGGCATCGGTGGTGTCGCTGGGGTGCCACAAGCAGTTCTTGGCGTTGAAGTCGCCAAGGAGAAGTATCTCATCCTGGGGTCTTTCAACTAACTTTATGGCCCTCTCCAGTTCCATCACGAACTCTGCGGGGTCGGACCGCGGTGGACGGTAGATGTTCCCTACCACAAGGGAGGCTTGGCCGATTGTTATTCTAATCCAAATACATTCCGCTTGAGTCATGGGAATGGTAATTGTCTCGTGTTGGCAGCTGTGTGGTATGTATGTGGCGACTCCTCCACCAAAGGTGTCCCGGTCCGCTCTTATGAGTTTGTAGCCGTTGATGGGGCCCGTCGCTGTCCGATGGATGCGCCCAGGTTTCCTGGAGGGCGATTATTGACGGTTGTTGCAACTTTGCCACGTGGCTAAGCTCGTCCATCTTGTTGAACAGACACCTGACGTTCGAGCTGATGAAATTCGCGACTTCTATTATTTTTTATTTATTTTTGTTATTTGTTTGGTTTTTTTTTGGTATTTCCGCAATTGAAAGTATTGTTCTCACTGACATTGTGTGGAGGACAGCGCTAGGATTGAGTATCGGTTTCTATTGAACTGGCCTGTGATTCCGCAAAGCGTGCCAAAGCTGCTGCTGCAAATCGTCGCGTGGAAATCGATGACCTGCTTTGGGCTGACGTTCATAGGATGCTAGACACATCAACTGTTTGCCAGCTTGAGCACCTTTCCGCCAAGGTTGTCTCTGGCTAGCTGAACACTCTGCCCTTGAAGGAGCATGGTTTCAGAATGTCGAGGCATGGCTTCCGCGATGCCATTGCATTGAGGCATGGATGGACTCTGAAAGATGTACCATTAACGTGTGCATGGCCCAATGATTGCACGGCAGCACATGCCATTTGTTGTCTGACGGGG